CGCAACAGTAATAATTTATTTGGAGATAGAGAGAAATAATTTTATTAATTTTAATTTTAAAAATATTTTTTAGAGCATGTTATGATATTTATTTATTTTCTTGTTGTATTCTTTGTTTTATACCTTTCAATTTATTAATTTTGAAAATTAATTTTTTAAAATTAATTTAAATAATTCAGTTAAAACTACTATTAATCAAGTTCTCGCTTGGGCGTTGGTAAAACATTTCGAATTAAAAAGTATATGAATGAGTAAAAAACTTAAAATTCTTTGCTTTGCTTCACAATGTTTTATTAATCGCAGACAGCTGTTTTGGCAGTTACGCCATTGTCAGATGCTTGACATACACTGAATGGTCTATATATATTAGTTTACTTAAATCTAGTACAAGTATTATAAATGTAGTTGCCGTTCTATGACTATCAGTAAGCGTATATTTTACAATATATATGTGTTCGTGTATATGTACCTTATGAGACGCTATGTATTGCCTTTTTTACTATCGGAGGTAGAGTAAAATCAATTTGATTGTTTGTTACGAATTTTTTTATTTTTCTTGTTATTTCTATTTCTATTGTTTTAAATGTATTTAAATTTAAACTTTTTGTAAGTTATATAGCAACTTTATATTATTTACATCTAGAAAATGCGCATTAGAGTTACAATGTTCACTAAAACCTTTATACGTTCAGAAAGGGTACGTCCTGTCTGTCCAATGTATATGGCATCGCATTCGGTACAACCAATCTGATAAACACCGCTTCTCTGTAAAATACCAGCTTCTTCATTATTACATAGAATGGACTTCAAGTTACATTTGATTACTATAATTGTATTTACATGATGTTTCTTTAAAAAATTACTAATTTTATTAGATACTATGGGTACATAATTCAACATGTCATCTTTTTTATTTTGTGTTGTACGACAAAAAAAATTTTTTTAATAAATATATTATAAATTTAGTAATAACATTAGTTATAAGAAATGCCAGATGTAAGGAAAGATGGGAGGAAAGAGGAATATTGTCTCCACTCTCTCTAGTGTGTTGGACTGGGAAGAGGATTTTCTTAAGTTTGCAAACCATCACGTTCTCGAACCTGAGTGGCAGCCCTGAATTCTGCAAGGGCGTGACCTAGAAATCAAGCTTTCCCATTCGATGATCGCTTTCCAGGTTCGCACTCAGGACCTCTTCCCAATACCCCAACTATGCGTGTACACAAGAACGGCACCTCCAAATTGACCCATGCCAAACCAAAGGCCCGAAACCTCCTACACTAGCCAGTCCTAATCAATCAATCCTACCGTC